TAGATTATCTCTTCATATCTTCATATTCTTTTTTATTTTATTTTATTTTTTATTTTTTTGATACCAGGGATTGAACTCAGGGGCACTTGAGCAGTCCTATTTTTGTATTTTATTTAGAGACAGGGTCTCACTGAGTTGCTTAGCATCTCAGGGCTGACTTTGAACTCGTATCCTCCTATCTCAGCCTCCGGAGCTGCTGGGATTACAGGCATGCACCACCATGCCTCACTTCCTGCATATTCTTAATTGTTTCCTTTGCTGTGCAGAAGCTTTTTAATTTGATGCCATCCCATTTGTCAATTCTTAGCATTATTTTCTGAGCTTTAGTAGTCCCATTGAGGAAGCCATTGCATGAAACTGTATGTTGGAGTGTTGTCTGTTTATTTCCTTCTAGGAGATGCAAAGTTTCTGGTCTAATTCCTAGGTTTTTCACATTTTGAGTTGACTTTTGTGCAGGATGAGGGATAGGGATCTAATCTTATTCTTCCACATATACAAAACCAGTTTCCCCATGGTGCTAGGGATAGAGTGCAGGTGCTTATGCATGCTAACACATGCCCTACCACTAAATTACATCTCCAGCTCCACAGTCTCAGTATTATTAACGAATGATGGGATTGAAGCAGAATTTGGGGATTAGAGGACAAAAAATATTGCAGGAAAATGGAAGGAGCAGAAAGGTGGTCAAGTGTGGCCTAGAGAGCACAGGCTAGAAGCCTGGCAGGCTTGGGTTTGAACCATGGCTCCATTGTTTGAAACTTTGGGACTTAGAACAAGTTACCTTAATCTCCTGTAGCCTTAGATTCTGTAAGATGGGGATAATAATAATAATATCCACCTCATAAAAATTTTTTTTAAAGGAAAACTGTGACCATGCCAGGTCCAGCACAGGGTCTCACACAGAGTAGGAGCTTATAAATGATAACTGTGGTCATGACAATACTTTCTATTTATAATATTATGTTTGGCCCTTTCGCAAATTGTCTTGTATGGTTTCAGGTAGTTTTAGAATAATTTCATTTAAAAAAATTTCATACCGTAAAATTGACTTTTTGGCACACAGTTTTAACATCTGTATAGAATCATGTAATCAGCATCATAATCAGGATACAAAACTTTCATCACTAGTATGGCAGTATGTAAATAAGTGGATGTGTAACCGATGTGAATCTGCAATATGTATACGGGGTAAAAATGGGAGTTCATAATCTGCTTGAATCAAATGTATGAAATATGATATGTCAAGAGCTTTGTAATGTTTTGAACAACTAATAATAAAAAAAAGAAAAAAAAGAAAAAAAAAACTTTCATCACCTCTACAAATGGTTTTTAATTATTATTTTTATTGGTGTATATAATTGAATACAATGAGATTCATGATGCTGTATTTGTCTCTGCACATAACATAATTTGATCAGTCATATTTTCCAGTGCCTTCCCTTCTCCTCCCTTCCTCCCTACCCTTAATCTGTTTGCTCTACTTTACTTATCTCCTTTCTGTTTATTATTATTTTAGTCAGTGCATTATAATCATATATGTAAGTGGGATTTATTGTGGTATATTCATACATAGACATAGCATAATTTGGTGGATTTCATTCCCCAGTAATCCCCCATGCCCTCCCCTTTTCCCTCCTTCTCAATCCTCTTTCTCTATTGGTCTCCCTTCTATTTTTGTGAGATCCTTTGTGTATAAAAATATATGTGTGTGTGTGTGTGTGTGTGTGTGTATTTTAAGCAACACAAATAATGTACACAACAGATATAATTCACATACTATAAATTCACCTTTTAAGGTATGTTTTAGTGGTTTTAGCATATTCAGTGTTATGCAACCATTGCTACTGTCTAATTTCAGAACATTTCATCACAAGAGGAAACCTTATACTTGGAGGGAAGCAATCACTTCCCATTCCGAGTAGCTACTAATTCACTTAATTTTGAATATTTCATATAAATAAGAATCATACAATATGTAGTCTTTTGTGACTGGTTTCCTACATTTATTTATCCATGTTGTAGCACGTATCAATTATTTCATTTCTTTTTTAAATTGATGAATGATAATTCCTTAATATTATTTATGTAGATATACCACTTATTTTGTGTGTGTGTGTGTGGGGGTGGGCTGGGGATTGAACCCTTGGCCTTGTGCATGTGAGGCAAGCACTCTGCCAACTGAGCTATATCCCCAGCCCAGATACACCACATTTTGTTTATCGATTTTGTCAGTTAATAGACATTTGGATTGTTCCACCTTTTGGCCATTATGAATAATGCTGCTATCATATACTAGTATTTGCATGGATGCATGCTTTAATTTCTCACCATATATACCTAGGATTTAAATTGTTGGGTTATATGGTGACTCTGCTTAACATTTTGAGGTATTGAGAAACTGATTTTCAAAGTTGCTACATCATTTTGAATTCCAGTCTGCCATGTATGAGTGTACCTACTTCTTTATATTCTATCCACCAGTTGTTATCATCATTCTATTTTAGCTATCCTGATAGGTGTAAAATGCTACTCTACTGTGGTTTTGATTTCTATCTTCTTGAAGAGTATTGATGCTGAGTGTCTTTTCATATGTTTATTGGCTATTTGTGTATCTTATTAGAAGAAATGTCTAAACCTTTTACCCATTTTGTGATTGAGTCATCTTATTAGTAAGTTGATAGAGTTCTTTACAAATTTTAGATATAAGTACCATATAAGATCTATGATTTGCTAATATTTTTTTCCCATTCTATGGGTTGTCTTTTCACTTTATTGATGATACTCTTTTTCTTTGTGCTGGGATTGAACCTGGGTTATTATACATGCTAGGCAAATGCTCTGTCACTGTGCTATCCCCATTCATTCTTTTTTTTTTTTTTTTTTGAAACAAGGTCTCACTAAGTTGCCCAGAGTGGCTTTGAACTTGGGATCCTACCTAGCCTCTCTAATAGCTAGGATTGCAGGCATGTACCCCCACATCCAGCATTGATGGTACTCTTTGAAGCACACAAGTTTTAATTTTGATGTAGTTCACTTAGTTTATTTTTGTCATTGTTGTTTTTATTGTTGCTTATGCTTTTGGTGTCATTTGTAAGAAGCCGTGCCTAATCTAAGGTCACAAAATTTACTCCTAGGTTTTTTCTTAAGAGTTGTATAGTGTTAACTCTTACTTTTCAATCTGTGATCCATTTTAAGTTCAAAAAATTTATATATGGTTTAAATAAGGATGCAAATTCATTCTTTTGTATGTGGATATCTAGTTGTTCAGAACCATTTGCTGAGAAGACTGTTCTTTCCCAACTGAATTGTCTTGGTATTCTTTCCAAAAATCAATTGACTGGGGGCTGGGATTGTGGTTCAGTGGTAGGGTGCTTGCCTAGCACATGCAAGGGCCTGGGTTCGAACCTCAGCACCACATAAAGATAAATAAATAAAATAAAGGCATTGTGTTCAACTACAACTAAAAAATAAATATTTTAAAAAATCGGTTACTGTATGTTAGGGTTTATTTCTGGATTCTCAATTCTTTTTTTTTTAATATTTATTTTTTAGTTTTCGGCTGACACAACATCTTTGTTTGTATGTGGTGCTGAGGATCGAACCCGGGCCACACGCATGCCAGGCAAGCACGCTACCGCTTGAGCCACACCCCCAGCCCCTGGATTCTCATTTCTATTCCATTTATCTACACGTCTATCCTCAAGTCACAACAGTTCTGTTCTCATTACTGTACTTTGAGGAAATTTTGAAATTAAGAAGTATGAGTCCTCCAACTTTGTTCTTATTTTTCAAGCTTGTTGGGGCTGTTCTGAGTCCCTTACATTTACATATTTTAAGATTTTAGTACCAGTTTGTCAATTTCTGCACAAAAAGTAAATGGGATTTCAGTAGAAGTTGTTGAATCTGTAGATCAATTTGGGGAATATTACCACTTTGGCAATATCAAATCTTCCAATTCAGGAACATGGGGTATCTTTCCATTTATTTGGATTTTCTTTAATTTCCTTCAACAGATTGTGTTGTTTTCAGGATGTTTCTGCACTTGTTTTGTTAAAAAATTTTCTGAGTGTTTTTATTCTTTTCAATGCTGTTATAAAGTGGAATTCTTTCCTAACTGAATTGTCTTGGTACTTGGAATTGTTTCCTTAATATGTTTTCAGATTGTTCATTGCTCGTGTGTAGAAACAGTTGATTTTTGTATATCAAGCTTGTTTTGTGTCCTGCTCTATGTGAAGTTTTAACTTTATGGAGATAGGGTAGCGGTGGTGGGGGCAATAGAGACTTTGGAAATGTTTCCAACAGGGCCATGAAACGTTTCTCTTGCATGCCATTTAGTCACACAGGTCAGTGACAAACTACTACTTACTGAGCACCTACAACATTATTTACTGTACTCAAAGCTTTCCAGTAGTTTTCTATTGCTCTGATGATAAAACAAAATGAAACACACACACACACACACACACACACACACACACATACACACAAAACAAAAACAAAAACAAAAACCCCAACCCTCTCCTGGCCCTGTGTCCTTTAGCCTCATTGACAATTTCAACTTTCTCTAAATTATTATTACTGTGTTTCTTCCTGCCTTAAACCTTCATTCGTACTGTCCCTGTTGCTTGGTCACTACTTCCCACTAACTTCCTAGTAGACAAAATTCTATTTTTCCAATGTTTGTGATTTCTGTCTCTTCTGCTAATACTGTCTGTTACTCACAACTGTGCTGTCCTCACCTCAGGCAGCACTTGGCACAGCAGTGGAGTGCAATAAAGGGAGTGGATAAACTGTGTGTCAGGCATTTTATATTCATGATCTCCCTTGTCTTTATGATACAGTTTACAAATGAGGAAACTAAAGCTGAACTAGGTAAACTAGCCTTAGGTCATATAACTAGTAAATGGCAGAGCAATGATTCTAGAAAGATCTTCTGATGGTTTGAATTTTAAACTAGCCCCTCCAAGAAAGAAGTTCTCATTTCTTGATTTGTTTTCCAGTGGAGACTTTTCAGAAACTGCAGAAGGCAAAAGAGATTCTGACCAATGAAGAGAGTCGAGCCCGCTATGACCATTGGAGAAGGAGCCAGATATCGATGCCATTCCATCAGTGGGAAACTTTGACTGACTCCGTGAAAATGGTGGGTTTCTCTCTGGGGGGTGATGTAGATCTGTGAGGCTCAGGCTACTCATGGACTAAACTCATGAGTTATCTTAAAGAGTTGTTATGGTTTGGATATGAAATGTTCCCCAAGGACTCATGTGCTGAAGATCCGGTCCTCATTGCAGCAATGTTCAGGGCTTTTGGAAAGTAGTTGAATCATGAGGTCAACCACTCATCAGGGCATTAATCCGTTGAATGCTGAATGGACACCTGGGAAGTTGTGGAAACTGAAGGTAGGTGGGGAACTGTTGGAGGAGGTAGGTCACTGGGGATGTGTATATCTCATTCCTGGTTCCTTCCTCTCTCTCTGTCTCTGTCTGCTTCCCAGCAGAACTGCCTTGGAGCCAGCTAAGCAAGAGCTGAAACGTCTGAAACTATGAGCTAAAATAAAGCCTTTAAGTTGTTTATATCAGGTATTTTGGTCATAATGTTGAAGAGCTTGTTAACACAAGACTCAATAGGCAATAGGATGGAAAAGACCAAAAAGTTGGTAGGATCTGCATTTAACTCAGTGCTTACAAAATCCTGTGAGAGGAAATTCAGAACAGAGGCAATGAATCAGAGCCAGAAGAGCCTGTGACTACATTTTTCAGTCTCTTTGCCTGTTTGTTTCAGTATATAAACTTCCTGTTATCATTTACACTTCATTTTATGAGTTCTAATAAATGTGCTTCTAAAGTTCCTCATATATTGAATTTCAAACTGCAAATTCATTTCCACCATCTTTTTTGTTCATATAAGCTTGTTCTTTTTTTAAGGCTTATACATCCATTAAAAAAGAAAAGAAAAAAAACAAAACAAAACAACAACAACAAAAAAAACAAACAGGATCCCGTTAGTCAAAGAGAACTGTAAGTTATTCTTATCACATTCTGGTGAATCATTGGACTTATTAAACCATTGTGTTACTTTTCTTCATACCATTAAAAAAACTACATATCAAAATAATCACATATTAGAATAAGAAGGGCTGGGGGTGTAACCCAGTGGTGGAGCTCATGCTTAGCATGTGCAAAGCCCTGAGTTCAATCCCCAGTACACTAATAATTAAATAAATCACTGTAATTACTCTTATGTACTTATTTTGTTCACATTGATCTTTATATTATAAAGCAATGTAATTAAAAAATTGTATTATTTTAGGCATCAATTATTATCCAGGTTCTTCTAATTGGAATACTCCTCTGACTTGAGACTTTAAATATAAAAATCACTTTACAGGCAAGTTTTTAGGGACATTTGTTAGAATTAGTCTATAAAGTGATTCACATCTCTTAAATTATAGCCCTTTAGGGTTATATTTAGATTTTTTTAGGGTTATATTTAGATTTTCTTTATAGTTTTTATTTTAAGACGATTGAAGAAAATATTTTTTATATAGAAGGCTTGTAAGACTAAGGCAAGGTCTTTCAAATAACTCGGAGAAATTAATGCAAAACTCCTAAAGTATTTAGTTAAAACCACTCTATATAAAATGTTAACTTTTTTTTCATTTCGGAATAAAATGTATAGACCTATGAATTTGTTTAAGGTGGGTTAATTATTTATGAGAAACTAACATATGCTTATTGTATATATACATAAAATAACTAGGGGAACCTTTCAAAAAAAAGTGGCTTAACTTCACTTATTCAGAACTAAGGTTCTTCTCTTTTTCACTATTTATATCCAAGGTTCCTTATTAACGCTAGCTAAGTAAACATTATTCTACTAACTCTGATTATTTTCAGTCTCTTCAGTATGAAACTCTTAACTGCAACTGAATTAGTCTCCCTTGCTATTCTAAACCCTTCTGACCTATAGATCATTTTTCTTGATAATCCATTCAACTGTCACTTAATTTTTAACAGCTGATATCAACTTAGCTGTGGATTTTTCAAAACTCTTCTCTAAATTTCCACTTTAATTATGTTGCCAAAGTCTTTCTATTTAATACTAATTTCTTGTCTCCAAATGCATTATTTCTGCTTTGAGTTTGGCTTAACCATGAACTGCTGGAGATCTTTCAGTAATTAAATTTTAGATGTTACTGGCTATGTCATTTAGCTTCTCTGCAAAGATGAAGTAGAATGCTAGGCTGGCCTTTGGTTTCAGATTTATTTTTATTGATGGTACAAAAATGATGAGATGCATATCTCTCTGCTTTTAAATCAGCAGTGATTTCTTTTTTCTCTTATGATCTTTTTTGTTTGGTTGAAAGCTGGTTGTTTCTGAATTCCTTTTGTTCTTTACCTCAGTGGACTTGGAATTTCTATACTCAATTTTTATCTGATGTGGAGTTTCACTGTTGTTGTATTCATATATGAACATAGGAAAATACAGTAGAATGAATTGGACATAACTGTCCTATGTTCATATATGAATATACCGATAGTGAAGTACAACTATTAAGAATGGGATCCTAATTAGCGTAAGTTATACTCCATGTACGTATAATATGTCAAAATACACTATTGTCATGTATATCTAAAAGAACAAATTTTAAAAAATAAATAAAATAAAATAATAAAATGAAATCTTGATTTTTTTTATTGGTTGTTCAAAACATTACAAAGCTCATGACATATCATCTTTCATACATTTGATTCAAGTGAGTTATGAACTCCCATTATTACCCCAAATACAAATTGCAGAATCACATCAGTTACACATTCACATTTTTACATAATGCCATATTAGTGACTGTTGTATTCTGCTGCCTTTCCTATCCCCTACTATCCCCCCCTCCCCTCCCCTCCCATCTTCCCTCTCTACCTCATCTGTTGTTGTTCAGTTCTCTCCCTTGTTTTTTCCCCCCCTTTCCCCTCACAACCTCTTATATGTAATTTTGTATAACATTGAGGGTTTCCTTCCATTTCCATGGAATTTCCTTTCTCTCTCCCTTTCCCTCTCACCACTCGTCTCTGTTTAATGTTAATCTTTTCCTCATGCTCTTCCTCCCTGCTCAGTTCTTAGTTGCTCTCCTTAAATAAAGAAGACATTTGGCATTTGTTTTTTAGGGATTGGCTAGCTTCACTTAGCATAATCTGCTCTAATGCCATCCATTTCCCTGCAAATTCCATGATTTTGTCATTTTTTAGTGCTGCATAATACTCCATTGTGTATAAATGCCACATTTTTTTTATCCATTCATCTATTGAAGGGAATCTGGGTTGGTTCCACAGTCTAGCTATTGTGAATTTGCTGCTATGATCATTGATGTGGCAGTATCCCTATAGTACGCTCTTTTAAGGTCCTCAGGGAATAGTCCGAGAAGGGCGATAGCTGGGTCAAATGGTGGTTCCATTCCCAGCTTTCCCAGGAATCTCCATACTGCTTTCCATATTGGCTGCACCAATTTGCAGTCCCACCAGCAATGTACAAGTGTACCCTTTTCCCCACATCCTCGCCAGCACTTATTGTTGTTTGACTTCAGAATGGCTGCCAATCTTACTGGAGTGAGATGGTATCTTAGGGTGGTTTTGATTTGCATTTCTCTGACTGCTAGAGATGGTGAGTATTTTTTTCATGTACTTATTGATTGATTGTATGTTCTCCTCTGAGAAGTGTCTGTTCAGGTCCTTGGCCCATTTGTTGATTGGGTTATTTGTTATCTTATTGTTTAATTTTTTGAGTTCTTTGTATATTCTGGAAATTAGGGCTCTATCTGAAGTGTGAGGAGTAAAGATTTGTTCCCAGGATGTAGGCTCCCTATTTACTTCTCTTATTGTTTCTCTTGCTGAGAAAAAACTTTTTAGTTTAAGTAAGTCCCATTTGTTTATTCTTGTTATTAACTCTTGGGCTATGGGCGTCCTATTAAGGAATTTGGAGCCTGACCCCACAATATGTAGATCGGAGCCAACTTTTTCTTCTATCAGGCATGAGTCTCTGATTTGATATCAAGCTCTTTGATCCATTTTGAGTTGACTTTTGTGCATGGCGAGAGAAAGGGGTTCAGCTTCATTTTGTTGCATATGGATTTCCAGTTTTCCCAGCACCATTTGTTGATGATGCTATCCTTCCTCCATTGCATGCTTTTAGCCCCTTTATAAAATATAAGAAAGTTGTAATATTGTGGATTGGTCTCTGTGTCCTCTATTCTGTACCATTGGTCCACCTGCCTGTTTTGGTACCAGTACCATGCTGTTTTTGTTACTATTGCTCTGTAGTACAGTTTGAAATCTGGTATCGCTATACCTCCAGATTCACACTTCCTGCTTAGAATTTCTTTTGCTGTTCTGGGTCTTTTGTTTTTCCATATGAATTTCATGATTGCTTTATCTATTTCTACAAGAAATGCCGTTGGGATTTTGATTGGCATTGCATTAAACCTGTAGAGAACTTTGGGTAATATCGCCATTTTGATGATGTTAGTTCTGCCTATCCATGAACAGGGTACATTTTTCCATCTTCTAAGATCTTCTTCTATTTCTCTCTTTAGGGTTCTGTAGTTTTCATTATATAAATCTTTCACCTCTTTTGTTAAGTTGATTCCCAAGTATTTTATTTTTTTTGAGGATATTGTGAATGGAGTGGTTTTCCTCATTTCCGTTTCAGAAGTTTTGTTGCTGATATACAGGAATGCCTTTGATTTATGCGTGTTGATTTTATATCCTGCCACTTTGCTGAATTCATTTATTAACTCTAGCAGTTTCTTTGTAGACCCTTTTGGGTCTGTTAGATATATTATCATATCATCCGCAAATAGTGATAATTTAAGTTCTTCTTTTCCTATTTTTATGCCTTTAATTTCTTTTGTCTGTCTAATTGCTCTGGCTAGTATTTCAAGAACTAAATTGAATAGAAGTGGTGAGAGAGGGCATCCCTGTCTTGTTCCAGATTTTAGAGGGAATGCCTTCAGTTTTTCTCCATTTAGAATGATGCTAGCCTGAGGCTTAGCATATATAGCTTTTACAATGTTGAGGTAAGTTCCTGTTATCCCTAGTTTTTCTAGTGTTTTGAACATAAAGCGATGCTGTACTTTGTTGAATGCTTTTT